TTTCTCTAGCTTTTAGATTTTTGACTTTGTGGAGTTTCAGATTTTTGTAGGTATTTGAGTGGAGCTTTGGAATATTTGAAATGGACCCCTCCGGTTGAGATATTCATCTAACACGGCCATCATCGGGGTATGTGGGGTCATTTCTATTTGTGGCTTGAACCTTGTCAACTTTGTTGAGCTGGCAACAAAGGACCGGGTTTCGTAGGCTTCATGCCTTTTTTTGTGAATTATCTTTGTTTAAGGCCTTGAAGGCCTAATATGAATGTAAAAAATAAATATTCCGATCACATTCGTGATCGTATATTTATCCGAGAGTTTGAACCATGTCTAATGTTATTTATCTGCTTAGAAGGATCGGGTTTCGTAGGCTTCGTGCATTTGTTAGTGAATTCTCTTGATTATAGGCCTTGACGGCCTAATATGAATGTATTAAATAAAGGAAAATTTACATACATACCACTTTATTTCATGCTATTTACATATCTAACACCCAAAACATTAATATTACATGTATACCATCCATATACAACTTTAATATCAAATATACCACTCATATAATTCATTTCTAACATTCATCATCTTATAAACTTTAATATTTCATTCCATGCACCTAAATTTATTCTATGGGTGGTAATCATGTAATATTAATGTTTTGGGTGTTAGATATGTAAATAGTAAGAAATAAAATGGTACGTATGTAAAACCCCCTAAAATAAATACACCGGTCGCCAAAACCGTGTATTTATTTGAGAGTTCGAACCCTGTCGACTTCTATTTATCCGTATAGAATGATCAGGTTCGAACTTGAATTCACTTATCGACCAGCGCAGCATCCTTTGACGTCACGTGTATACTAGTAACATGCTCGCCGGGGACCATGCGAGTGATTTTTATATACCCCTTTAGTGTACTTATGTGTATACAAACTACGGTGCATGTGTAAGGGTTCTTTGAAATAGTTGTAGTTGTACAGGCAACTGTCATTTGAGTATACAACATTTCATTTGAGAGCTCATACACGTCTTTTGTCTGCTAGTACGAGTGTTGCGGATCCGGTGAGGATCTTGATGTTATGAGGCCTCTCCTCATCTTGATGTTGCTCCCCTTTTCTCATTCAATGGGGAGTTCTTCTGGACTTTGAAGTTTGTTGCTTTAAAGAGAACTCCTTTTAAGATCATCAGTGTAGTTGACTTGTTGTCTCTGATGTTTGTAGATATCAGAACTGTTTTCTTCCTGAGTATAGGATCAAGAAGGAATTTTAGAACACCGGGAAGTTTAGTTCGAATTTGCTCAAACATCTCCTCCATTCCGCCACGGGGTGTTCTTCTTTCGTACATCAGGTTTCCCTTTGTACCCGATGTACTTGTAAATCTTGGTCACCGTCGTTGTAGATAAAATCTTTGCTTGTGTCCACAGTGGTTCGTTGTGCCTACGATATACACACTGTTGTTATCCACAAGTGGCTCATGTTCATTTGCAGGGACCCGTTGTATCAACTACAACTTCATAGAAGTGTTCGTAGAAGAGCTATTATTTCTATGTCATATCCACCTTTCACTAATCTCAGGTGGTTTGGTGATTGTGCTTGTTTGTAGGGACGGATCTTCTACTATCAAGTGGTAGTGTTGCCTTCTTCAATCAACAGGCATTTGTAGGGATCGTTGTAGGAGTTCGTTGCATTCATCTTTAGCGTGCACTGAGATTTCATCTTCCACTTACAAGTTGTTGTCAGCTTAGAGAACTGTGCATTTAAACTTTGATTTGTTCATTCATCCAAAGCCCAGTCCTATATGTTCCATCAGACCCGAGTTCAAGGTTCAATTCATGCTTGAGTCGTCTATGTTGTTATGGGTTCAACTCTTTGCATCCCATTTAATCTCAAGCTCCTTGTGTCCTCTATTATCCTTGAAAATTTATGTTCTTTATTGCTCATGTCAAGTTTGGATCCAACTTGAGTTCAATTTGAGTTCCTTGCTCTCCGTATAAGTTCAAGTGCACAGGTTCAGATGCTTATTCAAAGTCTTCTGAAGTCTTTTGAGTTCAAGTTCTATGTTCCTTGCGGTCCTTGCAAGTTCATTTGTTGATTTTGATTTCTGGTCACATTTTTATTTTATTTCATTTGAGTTTTGACCTTTAGAAATCATTTGAGTTTTGTTCTGATTTAGGTCCACAAGTCCACTGCTCTTTTTGAGCCCAAATTCTTGTTCTTTTGAGTCCCAATGATTGCTCTTTTTTGAGTTCAAAACAGGTCCTAAGTATAATAATATTTCACTCGAAATTTTGGCAGCCTCCCAACGTCTCCCCCGTTTAGGAGAAAAATCCGAGAGACTGGGCCATCCCACCACGCTACTCGAGCGTGTATGATAGGTGTCAGGGGACACCGGGCCGTACATTTTTTTATCCCACCACGCTACTCGAGCGTGTATGAGGTCTTCAACAGTATCCGTAGGCGAGCACAGGTAGATCTCCCCACCACGCTACAAGAGCGTGTATAGGGCTTACCCACTTCGTTGTATGCGTCGCACCGGGCTCCCTCCTACCGTGCTACGAGAAAGCGTAGGTGGTTCCCCGGTCCGCATCAAATACCGAATATGGGATTTTAGGAAATTACCCGCCTCGTCGTAGGCACCGCACTGAGTTTCATCCCACCGTGCTACGAGAGCGCATATAGAGGGTTTGCCGGTCCGTTGCACACGATGAGAACGAGAATATAAGTTTTAGGTGATTACCCGCCTCGTTGCAGGCATCGCACCGGGTTTCCTCCCACCGTGCTACGAGAGCGCGTATATGGGTTCCTCGATCCACCGCAAACATCGAAAACAGGAATCTGAGTTAAGGAAGATAAACCTTGGTGGCCGGCGGTGCTGATGTCGATGTCGAGGACCATCCCCACCACGCTACAAGAGCGTGTATAGGGCTTACCTACCTCATCGTACATGTCGCACCGGATTTTATCCCACCGTGCTTCAAGAGCGCGTATAGGGGTCCACCGGCGCGTCGAGGATGGAATTTAAGTTAGAAATTTTATACCTTGAAGACCGGCTTAAGAAAATAATTATTAAATTAATTATAATTACTATTAATATAATTAATAATTAAAAAAAAACTAATCTCTCCCTCTCCACTCTCTCTGTTTGGCGGGTCTAGGGGAGTTGGCCGTGGAAGCATGCTCAAGGGAGAAAGTTACCTACACAACCAGTGAGCTCCTGTTATTGATTCCGCTCAAAATGTCGTAACTTCCGGTCCTACAGGCAGGGAAAGCCGGTTGAAGGAGCGAAGTCGACCGACCACGACGGAACCGGAGAAGCTGCACGAAGGGGAGAAAGTCTCCTCCACAGCAAGCGAGCTCCGATGTTGCTTCCGACCAAGGTGTCGTGACGTCCGATCCTGACCAGAAGAGAAGGTCGTTGCTGGGTCGAGAGCGAGAGAGAAAGAAGGCCAGCGATCAGAGAGATCGGAGCGGAGAGCGCGAATGAGGGTCTTCGCTCTCATTTTAAAGACGCAAATGGGGTCGGCTCGAGGTGGGATCGTGCGATGAAGCGACGCGAGGTCGTGGGAAGGGCATCGGCGCCGTGGGATGGCAGAGAGCAGGTGAGGATTTGATTTTGATTTGATTTTTTTTTTCACCGAATACAGGTCAACAAAGTCGTTACTTTTCACTCCTGTAAGCAAATATTCACTCATAATTGCGAATTGTCCTCCTGGAAATTTAGATTCACCACTAGATTTCCTCTCTTTCCATTTGACAATCACCTATTATTTGATCAATTAGAAGAATGTAAAATAATAATTGTGAATGCAAAAGAACAATTTAATGCACTTACTCTTTCTCTTGTCATCAAAATTGAAAACTCGTTGATTTGTCTTTCCCCAAAATTTTCTTCACTTTCTTGCTGACTTCCTTCTTTTATCTTCCATTAAAACAATAAATCTCTTCGTAGGATTAAATCACAGAAGAAACGTGCAAAAAAATATGAAATTGGAAACCTACCTTCTTCCTTCTTCCTTTAGGCCATTTCTTTCTCGACAAAAACCTTCTCACATATTTTGTTCTTATGGGAGTGAGTGAATAGAAGTTATGACACACAAGGAGTCGTTACTTTTCACTCCCGTACGCAAATATTTACTCAGAACCGCGAATCGAACCCTCCAGAAGTGCTCATGCACGAGTTCGGCCCAGCCAGCTTCGCCTGTACGTTGTCGGTTTGTTCGGACCTGTACTAGTGCGGTTTATTACATAGGCTAGCTAGTTCAATTGAACCGGCCAGACCAGTTCTTACATGTTACCATCTCAATAACTTGAGCATTCATATTTGCTCAAATTTGTGCGTCCAAGAGAAGTTAAAGATGCATGACTCACACATCACACTCTATTGATCGTTGGGTGAGGTTACCCATTAAGTCGGTGGCAGAAAAATTGAAGAAAAATCAATTAAGGATGCACACCTATATACAAGAGTTGTGCATATATATGCACAACACACATAAGCACCCAACTCATATATAGATATGCGTTTGGCTCAAGCATGTATGTATCCAACCTATTTTTGAGCTATGCGGGTAATTTTAGCATTGATCAGTATAGAGGGAACTTTAATTGAGATTGAGACTTCTTGGTCAAAATGTTAATATGAAACCTTCTTCAGCCTATAGAGCAATTCAATCAATCAAGAGCTGAGGTTCAATCTAGTGCATATTTGTGATACTTTGGGAATGCTAACGTCTCAACTATAAGTACATGATCCCTAGGTCAATTTCATTTATTTTTCTCATTTTCCATCTTTTCAATCCTTGGAGCTCAGCCATGATAATATTTAAAACTAATGATACTATTTTAAAAAAAAAAAACTACCATGAATTCAGAATGATTGCAAAATTTTCATTTTTCTGGAGATTAAAAAATAGGAGAGCAACTACATATATCAAATCACTAACTTGAAAGTTATATGCCACAAATGCTAATACCAATCAAATAAAAAAAAAGGTAAAAGATTCCTCACCTACAAAGGGAAACTTGCAGCCAAGATCTCAAGTCTTCCTAGTACAAAATTCCTATCCAACTCGTATAAATTTCAACTATACCTCCGAATCATCAAGAAATGGTTTTTCCTGAAAACCCTGACTAGACACATCTGAAGTCAGAAGAGTTCCACGAAATCCTTCCTCAGCCTTAGGTGGCTCAATCTTCTGTTCAGAGAGCTCATCTGCAAAGGACAAGTATAGAGAAAATCGTAAAAAAAGACATACAACTTGTATGATACAAGCTTCTTCTCTTTCAAAGAACTCTACAACAAATTAAACTCATATCTACTACCAGCTATATCACGATTCTCATAAATCTCAGTGTCCATGACCCATAGAGTGTCTCCTGGAAATATATTTTTGTCTGCAAGTGTAGCAGAATCCCCATCAATTTGTACAAAGCTTTTGTGAAGCTTTTGGTTCTCCTTCACAACCTGATGATAACCAGAAATGGAAAGATTGATTACGCAATTCCAAAAAGTATTATTATGTCAAATTCGAAAGACAAGCATTCATAACCAAGTACAACCTTATAAAAATTTTCAGGGACGAACATGGGTGATAAGTGCATTTCAACCACAGTAGTCTCTTTCAAAATTACACATTGAAGGAAGACTGGTGAACTGTTCACATTTATTTTTATTTTTTTTTTCATCGGTGATCATTTTCCATTTTTTATTTGATATAAGGTCAATAAAAAAGGAAGGTGTTGTTTAATACAAAGAAAAGGAAAAAATAGATGGTTTTCTCTGATACAAAAAAAAAATATTTGGGAAAGATGTGCGAGTATCATATCAATGAAGATTAAAAATCATAGCTAACATACCCCAAAGGCTTCCCATATCATCATTTTCAGCTGGTATACAGATGTGGTGCTAGAGACTTTAAAATTGATTGACTTTCCATATGAAGTTTTTTTGGAGCGCTTTGAAGTCCGGATAGATGGAACTGTAGAAGCTTCAATAATTGACCGGGGAGCTTCCTTCCCATGCACAAGATACACACAAATATCCTCATCATTGTAATTGAGCTTTCGAACCAACTCAGAGCTTTCTCTCTCTCCAATGCAGTCTTCACATAACTAGAAAATTTATTATAGGATTAGCTTGACATAGAACTAAAGTACTGCATCAGACTTGAACACTGCAAAGCAAATTATGCAATATGATTAACGCAAGAAAAACCGCCCCTACTTCACATGAAGTGACTTCAATTTCATGATATGTTATTTTAATAAAAGGAAATAATGCATGTAGCTTTATTTAAAAAGGATCTCTTTTACCCTCATAACTTCCAATGACCCGGTTAGGAGAGTAGAGATATTAGATTTGACTTATATTAAGAAAGTTAGAGGCAGACCTAAAAAGACTTGGTTAGAAAATATTATGAATGACCTTTCTTTATTAGATTTAAACGAGAATTTGACCTTTAATAGGACACAATGGAAAAAAAATGATTCATGTAGCCGACCCCACGTAGTGGGATAAAGGCTTGATGTTGTTGTTGTTGATAATGCAATAAACAAAAATGCCTTTCTAAAGAATAATTTTGTCCAATGAAAAACAAAAATTGAAAAGAGATTAGAAGAAAAGGCAAGTAAGAGGTGATAATTTTCATTCAATTCGAAATTGATTTGAACAAGTTGGTGATGATTTTAACAAAAACATACTTGGCCCAAAAACTATGTCGAGTCAAATAGTCAATTTCATGCTTAGAATGGCTTGCTCGATCTTCAGTTCAATCCAGCTCAAATTTACTGTATAGAGAGTACTAGGTGGTCCATTTTTCGGTTTTTGTAGCTTGTGCAAGAGGTTTTGAGTTCTATCCATCCTTTCAACTCTTATACTTTTCCAATTTTGAGACAACTCAATTGATTTTGAGCCATGTCAAAATTGAGTTATTTCAAGCCAAGTTAGATAAATATTAAATCGATTTCAAGAAAATTTTAAGTGAGCTAAAGTCCATATCTTAAAGTTTTGAGTCAAGTAAAGCTTGTTCAAATTGGTTAGTTATGAGCATTACTTAAAGTAATAATTAATAAAAAATAAATATGATTTTTCAATAGTTTATCCCTTTTTTTTAACAAAGAAGAAAAATAAAAGACTTTAAAAAATTGTAGAGAAAATATTGAATATAAAAATTGCGTACCCAATGCATAGAGCTCCAACTAATGCGAGGGGTTGTGTATATGGACTTCCCTTGCATTTACATAAAGGTTCTTTCCTTGAATAGAACAAAGGAGGAATATATATCATGTAATATTATGGAGTATGACATTAATAATTATCAACTAATCTTACTAAATAAACTAATACCTAGGTGTGATAGGTTTAAATAATTTACATATGTTATTCATAATTATTATATTCAAAATATTCAATGCATAGTTGAATATAATAAAAGAATATCCTCGAGACTTATTATTTGTGAAGCTCTGATACGGACAAGTTAACAAATGCACAACATGAAGACATAACATCACAGTATAAAGTATGACATAAGGCACCATTAACATAATCTTATCTTTAATAACTTATTAATATAGGTTATGAAATTTCTAGTATTTTCTACTAAAGACAACACCCGATAAAGTTTAACATCATATACATATACTTCACATAAAAAAATTTATAACAATAATAAAAGTAAAACAAACATCATTAATAATAATAAAAATGCCTCATCGAATGTGACAATAGTCATTTGTTAAAAACACTCCAATATCAACATTCATTAATTCTTGCCAATTATCACATATTTTATAAATATCAATATAGCTTATAAAATATTTAAAATCCTAAAAAAATGCAATATCCTCTTCAAAATAATCAAACAATATACGAATGTGAGCATGTCCATGATAAATAATTAATTGAAGTTAACACACTAAATATTATGATCATCACTATCATTAGTGCTCTAGCTCTCTTCAACGACACCTTCACCTTAATCTAGAAAAGATATTTTTTAAAGATAGCTCATCAAGAGAGATTAGCAGCTTCAAGCTGTTTCCCGCCAAAGTCCCATAACTTAGACTCTCCTTGTATTATGAATTGCTCCAAGATAAAAGGTGAAGTTTAATATGCATAAAAACCAAATCTTTACTCAATTGAGTGAGTCTGATCCTCCTAAGTGTCATAAAAGAATATGTAGTCCAATATCCTTTGCAATACGAAGAGGAACATGATTGAGCTAATAATTTAATAGCAAAACTCTGAAGTTGTAAGGAACTAGTACCATAAATCATCCCCCAAATCTTTCCATCCACAAAGCCTCCAGAAGCTATTAAGTCATAATTAGTAAAAGTATCATTAAATCCAAAGAAGTTAGCAAACTCCAAATAAATCATTGCTCTTTTCAATATTTGAAAAAAGCATTTTCAAGCATTTGTTCCTTTTGTTAGAGTGGAATGGGCTAAGATGAGATTAATTAAAAGCTTAAATGTTTAACTTCAATTACAAGAGTGAGCTAAGCGATAAAAGGAAGTGCTTCTATGTTTCATCTTTGGACAAGAATGACATGCAAAATCTTATAAAATGTGTACTCATTGTTTCTCTTTCTTTTGTCAATATATAATTCATTTCACCCTTTCGATCATAGAATCCTACATGTCATGTACAAGATGGAGACAAAGCTTGTTTGTGTGAGCTGCTCTTAATATCTCAATACTGCCTCCATAAATAAAATAATGTAAAATATTTTATCCTACCACAAATCATCTAATATCTTATCCACATCATCTTCTCAATAGACACTTCACTAATTATCATGGTTTGCAATATTTGCTTTATAATTTTGAATCGCTTAAGCATAATGCTTATGCAAAAAAAGTCATTGCTATAGTTAACAATTGCAACTTACAAATTCATTATCGTAAAGGTCTTTTTGAATTTTGCATCATAGGTAATGTTAGTAATGTAAAATGTTCGTAATCCAATTACATTCTTCCTAGGTGATCTCATTTCTATCTATATTCTTTGAAGAATAAAAATTTTTTAATCCAAGATTCAATGCATGAACAACACAAATAATCAAAAAAATCATTAAGGTATTGAGTCTCATTAAGTGTTCATGTTGTTCTACACACCAATGCGTTGTCAGTGATTACTTGAACCAATCCCATGATAATCACTTCTTTGATGATTGATGGCATTTCTTAATATAGATCTACATTCTATAACACATAAATCCAACTATCACAAATAATAGTGATTTCTTTTCATACAAAGTTTCTTTAATTGGCTTAAGAATTCTTTCAATATTAGCATTTCCTTTTGAAGTAATATTGGCTCAAAAGATTATATGCCAGCGGAATAGATCCAATGGAATTACTATTTAGCTACACAGTAAAAGGTGCTACAATAATATGAATTCCTCGAAAAACTGACACAGAAAGGTGGTTGAATAGAACATACAAGCGATTTCTTCAAACAATTGATCTCTACCTTGCAAATCACATGCAATTTCATTAATTATCTTTGACCAATACATTTTTGTCTTTGTTCGACCATAACCCTCCATTCTAAGGAATTTTTCACTATACTGTGAGCTAGAATATTAATTTATTTGAATGGAACCACTTTTCCCATAAGAAGGGGAACTTTCTTAAATGATGCGTTATTTTTCATTTACATAGAATCTACATCTAATTTCTGCAATTCCCAAAGTTGTATGGATGTTATTTTTGAGTATCATCAAATGTTTGCCTAGGGCTATCTAAGCAAGTGAGCTCTTAGCCTCTCACTTTATAATATATTTCCTTATGCTTTCCTTAACAAAACCAACATTGAAATTATATATTTTCACCGACCCCAATTGCTCCTCTATTGTCTGATTTTATAATATAGTTCCACAAAGATCAGGAAATTTCCAGTTGCATTAATGCCAAATTTAGAAGTCAATCCCTGATTATATAATAAAAATAACTTACGATTAATAGCTCAAAAAAAAAAATCTTTGTAGTTTACCAATCATAAATACTTCCTACTTTGACCAAAAAAAAAAGCAAAATAAAAAGTTCCATTTCTGATTTCATTAATAATGATTTTATATGAGCATCCGCTAATATTAAATAATATAAATTTAAAGTGAACATGAATTAAATTTTTTTAATTAATAATAATGATATAGGGTTAACAAGTGGAGGGACGAAAATAGAACACTAAGATTCAAATAAATATTGGCATTGAGTTCTTACGAAGTGAGTTCATGCAAAAGAACTAAACATAATTAAAACTTATTTTAACAAAAAAATTCCTAAAATTATTATTTTGAAAAATCTAAACTTATTCAAGTTGAGATCAAAATTAATTCAATTTCAGCTCTATTTTGTTCATTTGTGCTCAATTCAAATTTGGCTACAAACCTTTTTTTTTAATCTTGGGGAGCACAAATTAAGTTAAACTTGAGTTTTATGAACAAAATGGAACTGAACTTGAGCAGGGGTGTTGCAAACACGAACAAACAAGCTAGAAAGAAACCAATATGACATATCTAGAACATAAGCCAACTTGTTTGACGCCCTTAACCTAGAACTTTAACCAAACAATTAAGCATAAAGAAAACAAGAGAATGAAGCTTGTCTTTCACGCCTTTGCTCAAGTATGCGTTGCACAATGAAGAGATAGGGGCCGAAGGCAGCAAAAGCTTCGTCGAAGGATGCAAGCCAATTGAAGGAGAGACAGGGTAACAATTAATGATAAAGGTGGGTCAAAGGCCCTAAAAGCTAAAATCGATGGCCCGTCAAAGGAAACTATAGGAGAGAAAGAGAGGCCGAAGGCTAAAGAAACTTTGTCAAACACTTATCGAAAAGAAGACGAGAGCCGCTTAATGAGTTGACTGTGGGATAAAGATTAAGTTTTAGGGCATGCACGAGATGCTAAACTATTTGTAACATAATAACTTAATTTTATCACAGTAATATCTCGATATTTCACTAACAAAAATGTCTCTTACACGAATGTCCTTAGCATGTTGGGGAACTTCTCACTCTTGTTAAAAAATATTTTTTTCTTAAAATGCCTCAAACATAATTCTTAACGTCACGTGTACGTGTCGTCATGACAAAATATCTTAGTGCCT